TTATTAATTGTGTGAGTATGTTTATTCAATTATGTGAATATGTGTATTAATTGTGTAAATATGTGTATTTGATTATGTGAATATGTGTATTCAATTATGTAAATAAGTGTATTAATTACGTGAATATGTGTGTTTGATTATGTGAATATTTGTATTAATTATGTGAATATGTGTATTAATTACGTGAATATGTGTATTTGATTATGTGAATATGTGTATTCATTTATGTGAATGTGTGTATTAATTATGTGGATGTGTGTATTCAATTATGTGAATATTTGTATTACTTACGTGAATATGTGTATTCAATTATGTGAATATGTTTATTAATTTTGTGAGTATGTGTATTAATTGTGTGAATATGTGTATTTGATTACGTGAAAATGTGTATTCAATTATGTGAATATGTGTATTAATTATGTGAATATGTTTATTCAATTATGTGAATATGTGTATTAATTGTGTGAATATGTGTATTTGATTACGTGAAAATGTGTATTCAATTATGTGAATATGTGTATTCATTTATGTGAATGTGTGTATTAATTATGTGGATGTGTGTATTCAATTATGTGAATATTTGTATTAATTACGTGAATATGTGTATTTGATTATGTGAATATTTGTATTCAATTATGTGGATATGTGTAATAATTATGTGGATATGTGTATTAATTATGTGAATATTTGTATTAATTATGTGAATATGTGTATTTAATTATGTGAAAATGTGTATTCAATTATGTAAATATGTGTATTAATTATGTGAATATGTGTATTCAATTATGTGAATATTTGTATTAATTATGTGAATATGTGTATTGATTATGTGAATATATGTATTTGGTTATGTGAATATGTGTATTCAATTATGTGAATATGTGTATTTGATTATGTAAATACGTGTATTAATTATGTGAATATGTGCATTGATTATGTGAATATATGTATTTGATTATGTGAATATGTGTATTCAATTATGTGAATATGTGTATTCAGTTATGTGGATATGTGTTTTATTAGTTTAGTATGTGTTTTATAATACTATGTGAATGTATGTTTACTAATGTGAATGTTTATTTTATTTTGTGGATGTGTTTTCAATTGTGTGAATGTGTTTTGTTATGCTAGTATGTGTTTTCAAATATGTGAGTATGTGTGTTCAAAATATGGTTTTGTCGAATAAGTGTTTTTGATTTTGTATTTTCAATTCCTTGAATACGTATTTTAAATTATGTAAATATATGTTTTTCAATTATGTGTTTTTTGATTATGTGAAAATATGTGTTTTTACTTCTTGAACTTCCGTGATGAACATTATTACTATACCTGGAATCCATTTGCGCTTTTCAGGTCAATACTGGCGTATTTCCACTTGTTTAAATCACCATCACTGCGAGTCCATATCGGTTGCGGCAGCGCTTGGTTAGTTTTATTTCTCACGTACACGTTGAGCCGAGGTACGTTGGTGCCGTACATGTGATACCAAAACACAATACATGATTGGTTAGTTGCACCCATCATGCGACTCTCAAGACTTGCCATCCCGAGCGAAGAAGAAGAGGTGCCTATATAGAGATACGCACCTTGTCCATCTAATAGAA